TGTTTATAGAAGCTTATGAAGCTCTTTCTCTCTACTCAGCAGTCAGATATAAATCTCTCTGTGTCTTGTTATCTTTTTCTGATAAACCTGTTCTCTGTTTTTCTGATTCTCACAGAGTCAGTTGATGATTTACTCTTCACAGGTCTGTGACTCTCACAGTGATCTGCAAGCAGTGAATGAGAGTCATCAGTTTCTTCAGAGTTAAGAACTTAGAGTCTTACTCAATGAGCTTGTTCTGCATGTCTTTATTCAGTCTCTTTATAAATATCATTATTCAGGTCTTATTTCAGAGCCCTGTTTTCACAGATCTTAATTTATATCATAATTCTATGAAGTACTGTGAGTAGTCTTCATCAGATTTCTCATCTCTTTTTCTAATATTGATAATCACAGCTCAGATGTTCTCTGTCTGACTTACAAAGTCTTTCAACTTATTCTCTAAATAAGTCTTAAGAACAGATCAGTGAGATCTTTCATAATCATTCTTTAGATGATTCAGTCAGTTCTTGACTTCAGTGTAATAGAGATCTGTCATTATGTAGATAATAGCTTCTTCATCTTTCATGTCACACAGCTGAGCTTGTGAGTCAATTTCAAATGCAAACTTGCAAAAGCTTTTATAGATTGTGATTTGATAAGTGACCTTAAGTGGTCACAGCTTAAGAAAGTTTCCTTTCAGTTCACAGATGTCTCTGAAGATCATGTCTAGAGACTCAGTTTGAGAGTGTTTACAGACAGTAAGCATTTCTTGTAGAAAAATAGCTTGGTTCTGTGAGAGGTGCTTGAGAATGTTCTTCACTGAGATTGATTCATTTGTGAGTTTGAAGAGTTCCCCTGTCACAGATGCATAGACTGGCCGCCGGGATCATGAATTTCATGTTTGATCTCATTTAATCTGATCTCATACATTTCTTGGCATGAATCCCGCTGGGACTGGCTATTAAAAAAACATGTAAAGTGACTATATATCAGATCTTAAAATGAAACCATGACTTGAAAAAAATGAGAAAGTGATCTCATTTGATCTTATTTAGTTTCATTCTTGGCATAAAGTTACTATTTTTAGACATTTTAAGGTTTTTTTTAGACTATTTTTAATTTTTTAAAAAGTAACACTTTTTGGTAACACTCAAATGAGATTTAAAGTCATTTAAAGCAATAAAAATAATTTAAATTGAGAAGTGGAAATCATGATCTCATTTGAAAAATGTGACAAGAGTAGACAGTAAGTCTCACTGAAACAGTATGAGACTACTATCTAATATTAAAACCATGTAATGGAATCAGTTGAATTGATAATGAAACTATCAAAAAATCTAGTTCTGGTCTCAGACACGGTCACACGGTCAGTCTACAGATGCAGAGAATGATGTCCCGCGAGTGATTGATAAGTTCTCTGAGACTTCTTCTACAGAAGTTATTCATGATTTGAGTGACTGCTTCTGAGTGCCTGCAGTAGAGTTCACAGGGATTGAAGCATGTGAGTTTCTAGTTCTTTCAGTCATAATGAGTGGTTACTGACTGACTGAGCTTGAAATATAAGAATAAGTGCTTGCAGGTGATTATTCAGGTGTTTGCAGCTTAGCATGATATGTACTGTTAACTACTAGAAGTATTCACAGTAGAAAGATAAAATGTAGAGATCAAAAATATAATAGCATTCAAGCTGAGTTATGAATAGTATTCATGAACTTCAGTCTATATAGTTGTGTGTAGCCAAGGGCCGCTAGCCCTATTGATTACATGAGAGATAGGAATAGAGGTAAAGGATCCGCGAGGAGCGGGATTTCTTACAGAAACCTGAGGTGCTTGAGTTCTGGATTTAATGTATCTCCTGCGGGTTTTGAACTCACACACCTTGATTTCCCACATCAAGGTGCTATCAGGTGGCTGCATTAACCATTCAGTCACTGAGACAGTAATGCTTTTTAATAATGCTCAAATGAGATTTAAAGTTATTTAAAGCAATAAAAATAATTTAAATTGAGAAGTGAAAATTATAGTTCTATTTGAAAAATGTAATAAGAGTAGACAGTAAGTCTCACTGAGACAGTATAAAACTACTATATAATCTTAAAACTGTGTAATGAGATCAGTTAAATTAATAATAAGACTATTAAATATTCTGATTCTGATCTCAGACACAGTTAGACTGACTATGCGACTATATCTAAGATCAGAATCAGATTTTTTAATAGTCTTATTATCAATTCAACTGATCTCATTACACAGTTTTAACATTATATAGTAGTCTCATACTATTTCAGTGCAACTTACTGTTTACTCTTATTATATTTTTCAAATGAGACTATGATTTTCACTTCTTAATTTAAATTATTTTTATTGATTTAAATGACTTTAAATCTCATTTAAGTGTTATCAAAAAGTGTTACTTTTTAAAAAATTAAAAATATTCTAATAAAAATCTTAAGATGTCTAAAAATAGTAACTTTATACTAAGAATGAGACTAAATGAGATCAAATGAGATCACTTTCTTATTTTTTTCAAGTCATGATTTCATTTTAAGATCTGATATATAGTCACTTTGCATGTTTTTTTAATAACTAGTCTCAGCAGAATTCACATCAAGAAATGTATAAGATTAGATTAAATAAAATCAAATGTGAAATTCATAGTTCTGATAACTAGTCTAGACACGGTCACACGGTCAGTCTAGCAGTGAGAGAACTAAAAACAGAGACAAGTGTAGAAGATTAAGAGAAAGTAACAGAGAGAGAAACAGTGATAAAAGAGATAGAGAGAGATATAAGAGACTCAGTTATATATAGTATAAGTAATTTTTTCATTATCATATTCTTCAAGTTCTTAATTAATGATTTAATATTGAGATGTTCACTATTATTGATAAATATAAATCTGTCAATATATGAAGATTTCATATAAATAAAAATAAATATATCAGCATCTGTGTCTATGCAAAATTATATTAGAAAATACAATTAAAAGTCTAATAAGAAGAAAAATAGTTAAGAGTGTATAAGAAAATAAAGAAAACATGTTATTTATAATAGTATCTTCTGATAATTATTAGAAGATAAATAAGTTCTAATTATATTTCATAATATATTACACTTACTATTAATAAACTGTCTGATAGGAGTACTATAATAATACTTGTTATGAGAATAGAGAGTCATTGCCAGAAATATATAAAATGTAATAGATAAATAAATAGAAGATGTTAAACAGAAGAAGAAGTAGAAATCTTAAATAAAATAGTAATATTCAATAATAACAATAATAAAGAAGATAATTGAAGAATGAAAAAAGTTAGTAAATGAGTAATATAATATAGTAAAAATTTCTTTATGAGAATATAAGAAGAATACTAGCTAGATCAGAAATAGACTATACAATTATAAACACTAGCAGTATGTTAATTAATATGAAGCTAGAACTTATATTATAGTTACATAAGTGTGACTGAATCTGATGAGAGAGAATGTGATTCAGAAGAATGTATAACTACTGAATAATAACACAGTCACTTCTGAACATGCTTATGAATGTAAAGAGGTCATAACAGCCACTAATTAATTTAGTATAATGTATATAATGTATATAAAAAGCCGGCATACGGCTGTAATTATCCGCTGGCTTCAGCAATCTTTGAATTATAACAGTACTGATAATCTTCAATAGACTCTTTCATTTCTTATAGAGTAAAGTATATCTCACTATATATATAAATAAAGTAGAGTCAGAGCATGTCTCACTACTTTTTATAACATTTAGAACAGAGTGTGTTCTGCTTAGACTAGCTGCTGAAATCAAGAATTTCATATTTAATCTTATTTAATCTGATCTCATACATTTCTTAATATGAATTTTGCTGAGACTAGTCATTAAAAAAACATATAAAATGACTATATATTAGATCTTAAAATGAAATCATGACTTGAAAAAAATAAGAAAGTAATTTCATTTAATCTCATTTAGTCTCATTCTTGATATAAAGTTACTATTTTTAGACATTTTAAGGTTTTTTTAAACTATTTTTAATTTTTTAAAAAGTAATGCTTTTTAGTAATACTTAAATAAGATTTAAAGTCATTTAAAGTAATAAAAATAATTTAAATTGAGAAGTGAAAATCATGATCTCATTTAAAAAATATAATAAGAGTAGACAGTAAGTCTCACTGAGATAGTATGAAACTACTATTTAATGTTCAAATCATGTAATAAGATCAGTTAAATTGATAATAAGACTATTAAAAAATCTAGTCCTTGTCTCAGACACAGTCACACGGTCAGTCTAGTTCTGCTAGTTCAGTGACTGAGACAGAGTCTATTCTGTCAATTAAGTCAAGACTCAAGACAGACTGTGTTCTATTAATCTCATTCAAGTTTTTTTTTTTCTTCTTCTTTCACTCAGAGCAGAGTGTGTTTTATTATTACTTTATATATTTCTTATTTCATGCATACTGTCTATGTTATCATATATTTTAATATATATTATATTCATCTCACTGTCTCTAGAGAGGTGAGAGAGATGAAGAGACAGAGTGTAAGACTACTAGGGCTTAGAGTACCATCATATGGTCATCATGTGACTCACACAGGCTGTGGCACCTTATATTCCCTGCTCTCCTTCCATAGCTAGTTCTCCTACTCAAGAATCAGTAATATCACAACCTGTTGTATAGCTGCAGTTCTACTCTGGTATCCACTAGTGACACGGCTCTAACATTATAGTCAAGTTTTCTGCTTCCTGAAACGGGTTAAATATTTAACGCATGCGACGGCTTACATAATGCGTGTAAGGGGGGTTTTGGTTCGCGCATCTTGACAAACTCACTCCAAGAAACCAACTGGAGGAACACCACGGAGGAGCGGAGACAAAACGGAGTGGCATCCAAGCTTCCTGGGACTCGCAACAATTCTCTCATGCGGGCCCCTTACCCGAACGTGATACCATACTGGCCTGAGAGTAAAAATCCACACCCCGCTCGTTAGGTCGCTCAACAGACACACGAAAATGCCTTTCGACTCGTCTGACAGATATCACGAGAAAGAATATGTAGATGAAGATTTTACACCTAGAGGCCTGGCCGATGATGATGATGATGATGACGGTGATCACGATGTCGGTGGTGACGATGATGGGGATAGCGAGATGGAAGATGAGGCAGATTTTCAGTCGCACTACTCAGAGAGACACTCATCGTCTGTTTCTACCTCTAGCGACGAGGACTTACACGAGCGCGCGACAGCCAACGGTGAGAATGTGATGGGGCCATCTGCATTCCTGTCCAATACTTCACTTCCCAATGCATTTGCGCCTCCATTCTACAACCGCCCCCCTACGCCGCTGCCTCCATCGCCCTCATTAACGTCTCTCCTCCGGCCATCATTTTCTACAACAACATCGCGACCCACCACACCGGACAGCTCCGATGTTGAGAACCTAAATGACATGGAAGCCGCTGTGGCGCGTTCTGCGCGTACTGCAATTACCGTGCCACGTGCAAGCCCTAAGGTGCCAACGTATGAGTACTATGGATTTGTGCTCTATCTTGCTTCGTCACTCGCTTTCTGTATGCTTCTTCCCCATCTCCATCTCTGGTGCAATCGCTGATATACCTTGCTGATAGTGATATATCTTTTGTGGTCATACCTTCCCTCACCTTTCCTTCACCAACTGGGGATTTACTACTACCCAAATCGCTGGTGGTCTCTTGCGATCCCAAGTTTCCTCATAGTGACAATCATCTATATTTATGTTGCATTATCCGCCTATAATACTGGATATCTTACACTGCCGATGAGTAGCATCGAAAATATCGTGGATGAAGTAGCAAATATTGCAGTCATTGATAGCAAGGGCAGAAGACGCCCTGGTGGATCTGAGAAGATGAATCCCAATGCTGCCACAGCACAAATAATGGGTCCCCAGAAAAGAAAGCTGGAATGGAAATACATCTGGAATGAGGGAACAGATGCAGTGATGGACATACCCGTTGGTGGTGTATGCGAGGTACTTTATGGAGGTAATGAAACCAGTTGATGCAGGCTATGATCGCAAGTTGCATCGCGGGAACTCCTTTCAGGGTATGAATGTCCGCAGGGGCTGACCGTAACCGCCATAGAAGTGAACATCGCGGGATATCAGGATTCAACCTTGGGCGGACACCTGCGGCGATGCAGCTGTACGTGGCACTTTGCCCATCAGATCTCGCCATTGCCTCGGCTGATTCGCCGACTCACTCAGCCTCTGCGGCCGCATTGATTTAACACACACATTTGTCCATTTTGTATTCTTAAAATAAGGCATAAGATTTGGTCGTTTTCGCTTGCCGCACATCTGAGAGATACCTGAACGCAGAGACGTACATAGTAGAAAGGGGCGAGGAATTCCATTTTCGCTTGATGGTTCCTAAAATGCCGATGATCGATAGAGATGATGAGTCTAGGAAGGATTACGTATCGACTTTTCCTATCCCTTCTGTCACTCCCAACTTCGTGTGGACTTGCTAGGGAATTTGGGCGCAGATTTCTGGATTCCGTCAACATTACCAAAGCATTTAATGCACGTCACCGCCTCCATCTGTTCAACCCTATCATCGGACTTTAGGTCAAGCGCGCTTTGTGCTATCGAGGCACAGGTGGAATGTGTGAAAGGCATGGATGACGCGCGGCACGTCGATCTCGATGAGGTTGCGCTTGAGCAATATGGCCTGGCTACGGATGTTTCACAGTCGCGAGGTAAGGCAGACGCTCTACAGCAAATCCTGTATTCAAATGAACAGATCATTTCTCTCCAACTTGGCCGAAGAACGGTGGTCTTACCATTATGTCACTCAATAGCTGAACTTGTATCATAGCAACGAAACCTCTCAGGAATAATCACGGCAGGATCATTGCCATTCGCCGTCATGGATGCTCTCAGTGGTACTCGAATTTCAACCATGACAGCGCTCGCTCCCAGTCATCAGTTACGCCACAAATCGCAACTTCAACATTCCTCAGGTCCAGCATAAACGGGCCGACCTATTTGAACACTTGGCTATTTCATGTGCAATAAGACTTGACCGAGGGACACAACTTGTATGGCCATGGCTCTTTGTCCGCGACAGGCGATTGTTCCGGCCTTGGATATATGGCTGACAACGGCATAAAGACCTGGGGAGCCTATTTTCACGACCTGTGAAAAATAAGACTCAAATGGTCACCTGATATCAAAAAAGCTTGCCTCGGAGGTATTTCGTCCACTGGGCCATCATTATCCAGCACCGTTCACAAATGTAGGTGTTCTGTGTGACCGTCTTACGGAACGCACGCTGCAGTCGTCGGCTCGGTTGCTTGAATGGCATCGATTAGGCGCCTGTACATGTCACCATATCTGCAGATGTTACACCCCCTTATCAAGCGTGTGCGGGAGCGCTACGTTATATATACCAAACTTAATCATGCAATCTTTTGATCGGAGTGGGTAATCAAGGCCTTGCCGTGGAAAGCGATAACGCAACTTTCGTCCAGGGAAACGTCAACGAACGACTGACCCGGCCATTATACCCGTCTTAAGGACTGGGAAAGTAACGGCACGTCCCACCTTGAACATTTTCAGGACGACTGCATGCCGCATGCAGCAGCTGAACCCAGATTTCGTGTAGATCCTTTTTGGGGAGTGTATTGTTGTCCTGCAAGAGCCTACTGTGGTGTCGAGGAGATCACAACCGAATGACTCGAGGCTCTGCTGGACAAAGCGGCTGTGGATCAAATTGCTTGATCATCTGTCAGAATTGTTCAATTCCATTTTGTGGAGCAGGTTAGAGTTTCATCTGGGTTGACTGGTAACCTAGCTACTGTTTCCTTTCCGTATCCTTGCAATAGATTATTTAGAGCAGCTGGGTGTCTGACCAAGTTTTATCTGACCTAAATTTCAAGTTTGAAGATGTAATGGAGTCGGGTCTGACATTTGAGGTTGATGTATTTCACGCCCACGTTACGTATTGACCTCATTGAGTCCCCCCAAGTTTCCTATCCTAGTATTAGCAAGAGCAATAGGGCCACACTAGATTGTGAGTGGTCAAGGATCGTTGGGATTTGTAGAGAAACTCCTACGAAGCTAACGATGCAACCAGAAACGTGCAGGTGGACGGTACTGTATATAACAATGAAAAAGCTGCCTGGATGAAAAGGGTCAGGATGGGGCCTAGCGCGCATATGTTTGCTCCGAGGACGACTCCGAGGTTGACGAATGAGTTTACAAAGCGTTCAATCCTTGCTTGATCGGGAACAACAACTTTGTGATCTCAGACTCCATGTCCGCTAATTGCAGGGCGTCCAAGTTAGTGGAAACACTGAAATTGAATAAATACGCAAGCGTGCCCGCAAAGCGGCGCGGGATTCGAGAATTGTCTAGCAACCTGACCGTGGACACTGACTCATGAAACCGCAAAGTGTATGAGCCACATCCGTACGCTGAGTTGATTTTATGGGGTGAAAGTGGCGTCATAGGTGCCTCCGCACAGACTTGAAGAACTGCATGTACTCCGTAGTCATTATTATTGATCTCAAATAGCTGCGTGGACGGACACGGACTTTGAGCCGATTGGTAACCTTAGTGGCTAGGGTGCGGATGCCGCCGCATGCTGAGCAGTGGCTTGACTTGGCCATGGATCCGTGCATGTAAGAAAGAAATATCACTTATGTAAGAAGCCTACGCCGAATAGATCGGTATAATATATATAGGTCTTATATAACAAAGAGAAAAACATTAGAGAAGGAAAGAAAGAGAAAGTGTGAGAATTGATGATTGAAGTGAATATTTATATGTGTATGTGATGATGTACATGATGAAGCTTCAAGATGGAAGAATATACACATGTTCATAGCAGCTGAGGATCAGTAATTGAAACATACACATTTGTAGCAGCTGAGGATTGGTGATTGAGAATGAGGCAGTAGAAATCTATGAAGTGTATGAAATAGTCTATATAATTGATCAGGTGCAGCCCATCACATTAGTTCCTCTCTTTCAGAAGCAGTTCTCATCAGTCAAGAGCTACTGTTTCAGATAACATGAAACTCAGAGTTCAGATTGATTAATTATAGCTGACTCATTTCACAAGATATTATTGACTGCAGCTGTGATCTCTGATCAAGAATATCTTTAATCTCTCACTCAAGCTCATTATCTTCTTCTATGATCTCTGGCAGCTGTCAGTTGAAAGTTAGTTGAGAAGAGAACAGGTCAGTGACAGTGTAGCAGAGTAAGCTTATGTGAAAGACATCATGAATTTCTGATGATATGTTAAGATAATAGTTATAACTATCTAGAACTTCTATTACATTATACTTGACATGATGATAGTTCAGTGTATAAGATAAACATGTAATCTGTATATTCTTAAGATTCAATCACACTAAGTCTTCTATCTTATACTGCTTAGCAGAATCTCAGTGAATATTGATTTGATTCTCTTGATCTTGTTTCATGACTGTTATGAAGGCTTCTGCTCAGTCATGAGTATCTCAGAGCTTTATTACTATATTATCAGTAATCTGAATCAGATTACAGAGGTTCAGTGTAAACTGTGTAATCTCTAGAAGATTTAACACTTTCATATAATAACTGTGTGTATGAAAGAATGAGCTTACATCTGATAAGACAGTATCTCAGTCATTGATAGTAATCTCTGTATGTAGAAGAAGATTATGTCAATTATCTTATAAGTAATTACAGAACTTATAAAGATAGTTCTTTACAGTCTGAATTATTCATTCTAATGCATTATCAGTCTCAGAGTGATAGATAGTTAATAGACAGTGTATAATCTTAAGAACTTAACAGATTCTTATTTAGAGAGTACTTACAAATTAACAGCTCTGATCTGATACTATTAATCTCAGTAACTTATATATCTAATAGAATGAACTCTGTAAGAAGACTTCAGTGACTTATTCAGTATTCATCTTATTATAAGATTTCAATATTATATCTTTACTTAGTTAGTCAATGATGATCAGAATGTTTCTACAACTCTTACTCTTAGATAGATTAATAGTGAAGTTAATTACTACATCTTATCAGATTCTATCAGAAATATTAAGTGATTTCAGTAGATCTTTTCTACAGTTCTTTCATAAGATAATAGAAGAACAGTGATTATAGTTTCAGATAAAGTATCTGATACTGTTTAATATCTCAGATTAATAGAACTCTCAGAAGATTATTCTATACAGTTATTCACAGTCTGAATAATCAGTTATATATGAATTATGTATCTCTTGCATTATTCAGATATGTAAGGGTTTGAAGTGAGAGACTCAGTGTTATTCACAGAATTGTAAAGTGTTATTATTATCAATTGAATATTCTGAGATGTCAATTCTTATACATAATTATGAGTTCTTGAAGAAGTTCATCAGTTTAAGCTGCTATATATCATAGCTCATCTAATGTAGATTTAGAAGAAGTTGAGATATCAGTGATAGTTCTAATTAGAGAAGTATGTATAGTGCTGTGAGCTGTTTTATCTTGATTAACTAGTATCTTCAGATTCAAGAGTCAGTGCTCTCAGTTCATTTAGTGAGTATCTGTTACATTGAATAATATATCTTACTCTCATTATGAGAGGGCATCTGTTATTAAGTTCTGACTGTCAGAACAGTAGTGTATTATAAAATAAAAGCAGCTTAAGAACTCAGATTATTATATCTGTTATTTAGTGAGTTTACTGATAGTTGTAAAGTATTTAAGATTCTTATAATCTATGACTATCTTAAATTTAAAGATACTTCAGAGTTCAGAGTTTCATTCTTCTAAACAGTGTATAATTATGAGAAGTTTCTTATCATAGATCTTATAATTGTATTCAGTGTGACTCAGTTTCTAAGATATAAAGATATATGATTGTAAAACATCTTTATCATTATATTACAATATTACTTCTTCTGTCATGTAGTCAGAGAAATCAGCTTCAATAACTGTCTTATGATCAGAATTAAATATTATCAGCAGAGAGGTATTAATGAATATCTTCTTTATCTGTGTAAATGCAGCTTCAGTGTCTGCTAGACTGGCTGCTAAGACTATGAATTTCATGTTTAGTCTCATTTGATCTGGTCTCATACATTTCTTGGCGTGAATCCCGCTGGGACAAGCTATCAAAAAAACATGTAAAGTGACTATATATCAGATCTTAAAATGAAACCATGACTTGAAAAAAATGAGAAAGTAGTTTCATTTGGTTTCATTTAGTCTCATTCTTGACATAAAGTTACTATTTTTAGATATTTTAAGGTTTTTTTTAGACTATTTTTAATTTTTTAAAAAGTAATGCTTTTTGATGTGGTTCGGAAGAACATACGACTGTCGGTGTGATTCGGAAGAACGTGCGACCGTCGGATAATAACACGGCCGCTTCTGAACTTGCTTACAAATGTAAGAGGGCTATAGCGGCCACTAATTAATTTAGTGTATAATATATAAGAAGCCGGTGTACACCTGTAATCATACACTGACTCAAGCAACCTTTGAATCACATCTAATAGTATGTCTAAAAACTGGTGAGAAGCACAGGCTTCTTCAGAATGTGATAATTCTGTCTATAAAGTAATTCATAGTTATCATGTCAGTGTGATTCTAGAATGTCTTAAAAGATAGTGTATAAAGAGTGATGAGTGAAAAAGCATCTGATTGATACTACTTCACTTATTGAGAAAAAAACTTCACACTCAGATGAATGCTATGTATGTGAACAGATAAGATGTGAGAAAAGAAATGAGAGCAGTGAATCAGATTCAAAGAAGACTACTCTTCACTTAAAGAAATAAAAGAGAGAGATAGCTATCACTGAAGTTATATAATAATAACAGAAATCATATAATAATATAGTAATATAATGATACAGTGATATAACAATAGATATTATACAATCAATGAAAAACTACTGAAATGAATACCTTCTCTAGCTAATACAAATAACATTCTTCTCTACTATCTGAACTGAAAGATATGCAGAACCTCTCAGAGAGTTTACTCAAAGCAGTAAGAAAAACAGCTGAAATTGCTGAACT